AATAATAATAATAATAATAATAATAATAATAATAATAATAATAATAACTTTATTTATAGCCATTACAAATACTATAAAAATAATTACAGTAATATGTTTTAAGTAATTGATTGGTTGCTAACCAGGCAGGCAACATCCAGACCCCACAAAAGGATTCAACCTGTGTTAGCGGATAGTAATGCTGCCACCACGGCGGGAAAGCATCAATCTAAGTTGTAACAAACAAATGGCTTATAAGTAAACTAAATAAAACTCTGTAGTCCCAAAACTAGTACAATAAGACTGTTCTTTTGGGACTAAGAAGAAAATAAAATGAAATTTAACAAGGAAACAACATTTAAAGAGTGCGGTTAATTAAGTTTTTAGATTAATCTATGCTGTGTAGTTGGCGGTGTGTATGTAAAAGTGGAGAGTGTGTGTTAAATGTGTTGTGAATTGTACTGATTCGAACATGTAGTGTGTGAATGTGAGCTGTATGAAAGGTGCGTCTTCATTTTTGCTTTTGAATGCGTATAGGGTCAAACATAGGAGAGCCGAATAACAAATAAGTTTAAATGAAATTAATAACAATAATATTTTGCTCTCAGTTTATCATCTTGCACCAAGCGGGATGTCTATCGTCTGATGCTCATAAATATCTCACTTACCTCTATTTTTGTGCGCATTTCGCATAATTAGCGGTTTTGTTTTGCCAATGACAAAATGGTTTGCATATTATCAGGCATTGGAATTAAGCAGAGCATATTTGTGGTAATGTCTCACTCCGAAACCTTGGAATGATCGAAAGTACAAGGGATAAAATCAAAACACAAGGTTACATTTTTACATACAATTAAAAAACTTTCCTTCTATATACACTACCGTAGCGACATAGGTAATAAATAGCTTCACAAATATATAAAACAAAATGCTAACAATTTCAAGATTTCAGAGGGAATAGGTAGTACATACAGTATGCATATGTATTACCTGCTTCATTAAAGTTTAAGTAGGTAGATATCTTTTAATATTATAGACAAATGGACTGTCCACCTTTCACTGTGAGAAATGGAAATATTCGAACAATACATAAGTACTGCTTACTAGCGTACATAAAGTAGCTATCAGTAGGTAGGTATCTCAAAGGAAGTGATTTGAATAGAAGCAATTTCTCCGGCAGTGTCCACTAGTAACCGCGTTCTTGTTTGTGTGGACTCTGGCATAATTCACACCAGAACTTTGACAAGCGAGTAGCGGTAGGAAATTATTATAATCGCGAAAAAAGCGATCAGCTGTTGAGCTCCAGCGGGTGTGGGGCGTGCAAAATATTCGCAGCATCCGTATACACTCGCACTACATTTTTCCGTATTATTTATAGAAAGACGGCGCGCAGGACCGGGAGCGCGCACACGGCGAGCCGCGCGCGGCCCGAGAGGACCCGACTGGAGCCCTATGGAGCCCCCCGCGTTCCCGGAGCTCGGCCTGCAGACAGTGCGAGCGGCACCCGGCAGCGCCGCCGCCCTCGTGCTGCCCAAGCCCTCCGGCACGCCGCCCTTCACATACGCATGGTACGTGCTATTTCCAGACCGTTTTTACGCTTTTCTTCGCGTCATAAACACGCACGCGTCATGTCCAAGCCAAAACACGTCGACTCCACATCGGAAAACTAGGTAAAATATCTGCCACATTGTGCGGTAATTAACGGTATTACAGCACTACAATAAAATCAAAAACTATTTAGTGATTGGTCGAGTCGAGGGATAATGGATTTTAATTTGTGCGCGATAAGGTGCAGTGTTGGTGGATGAGCAGCGACGCAGCAGCGAGCGTCGTCGTCGCGCCGGGAAGCGTTGTTTGTTTTTACGTGTCGATGTATAAATACAGACCAGGAAGTCGGCCGAAGACACACGACACTGCGCCTGTTGTACTGTAATGTAATAGTAATTTGGGATGTGAACTCATAGAAAAATGTTCGAAATGCGATTTCCGACAATGCGGCTTGTGTTACCAAAAATGCGGCATATCTGGGCCAAGTCTCCGGTGGGCAGGCGCGATTTAATTTCTAAACGCTCGATGCGCGTTTCGTAGTAGGTACATGGCCACCATTGACGTAATTCTCGTATATACGAACTTATCGTGTGTAGGCACCTATAATTATGTTCTAATCACTGTAAGGTTCGTGGACCTCTCAATCTTTTGCAGTAAAAAGATCTTACTGTAGTCAACGAATTCCCTTCGGAACTATAGCTAACATAGTCCACCAAATGCAAACTTTGTGCAGTTTTCTTCTTATTAAAGTGCGTTGAACCAGTTCTGAGGGCCATGACCTAAAATGCCATTTGTTACTTCACCTTATACTCGAAAGGAAATCGTCGCGGAAGTATAAAAGATACCTTTTTGGTTTTCTGTTCTAAAGTTGTACGTTCAACAATATTAAGTAATAAGGGAAATGACGAGGACGTATAATAATAAACAATTTGTGATATTTATTGGAAGGTAATTACTAGGTTTTTGATGAGAAATTATTTTTAGAATATAATCGAATGCATTTGTACAGAAGTAAAAGTAATACAAAGTTGAATAATTATTTCGAAAAACTTAAAAAACCTATACTTTGGTATAACAAAAGTTTAGTAACTTTTGTAAGTATAATACAGAAAAGGGTGGTTTGCTTTAATATCACACATCACAGCAGTAGAACCCCTTGTGAAAGAGTTCGTCCAGGGAAAGTACCTATGGCTACGTTACCTATTTTTGCCGCCAAGTAATGAGACCATTACTGCGTTTCGTTTTTGAAGGTTAAGGGTGCTGGTAAAATTAAGCTCATGGAACTTTCAACATATGTATCAGAGTGACGGGCGCAGTGGCTATGGCCCGGAGCGGCACTACAATTGTTAGGGACAGGCTTGTCGTTAGGTACCGTAAAAAAACTGATTCAAGACTTTACCGTCTTAGTCAGCCATGACAATGTTACCTGTAAAAGGCCCGAAACGTTAGTTTAAAAAAAAACAAATACACGCGATTTAGGCCCGAAAAATAGTTTCATTTCCACAATTTTCTAAATACTATTTATACAATGTACTTTGACGATTCAAGTGGCTATTACAATTTAAGTTAACACCTGTCAAATTTAGAAGCCGTGAATAACTTTTCACGCCGAAAGATTCCGAAACTTTGAACTCGACTAAATGTGTTTAAAATAGTCACGAATAATCCATGGAATCTCTGGAAATTCTTACATTCCCTTTCGTAACCTGTATCATAATTTTTTTAGATCAGTTAACCACAAAATTAATTTTAAAATCATAATTCTTCTAGAGCTACAACAAAGTTGGCCACTTTAAATCACGCTCATAGATTGCGGTAATCCAATTTATTCCAAATTTAAGTTTAGCGTTCGTTTGTCAAACTTCGAACATGCAAATGTTTCGATTTAGAAATCTGTTGTGCTGTTATAATGTTTTTCATCAAACGAATTCATAATTAGCAGTTTCCCACTTTTACGTTCATAATTTAAATTAGCTAATTTTGAATGATGTCAGCCAAGTTTACTTTTTACTTACCAAAAATAAATATGAGATCAGGAGGAATGCTTGACTGTTGAAACTTGTGGCGCCATCTGACATCTATAGACTGTATCAATATGTGACGATGGCCCTTGACGATAACATGACATAACGCCATCTGTTGTTTTCATGAAGAACTCTCTTGCAAGATTATGACTGAAAGTTAACGTAGAGGTTCTGTTTCAGGAGAGGTGGGCTTGTGAGGCGGGCGTCGCGTTCTAGCGTTCACGTTACTAAAGTAGCTTACAACCCCTATGTAGAGCTCCCTGGATGTCACAGTATTTACCTAACTACCTTAAGTTTCGGACTTATTTTACACTTATCTATCGAATATCCATAATAGGTATAAAAAATTTAAGGTTTTAATTGCCATTTTTATAGTTTATTAAAATATTTTTCCTACAAAAGCATGTAACACTTATGGCGAATGTGGACAATATTTATTTTACGACGTGAAATTTTTTTTAATATTTTCCGATTGACTTGAAAAGTTTAAAAGTCCATTAATTCAATCGTTACCTAGGATCTAGAAATCTTTTGGTGGGTATATTTATTACGTGCTACAACTCACGGTATGCTAACATCATCACTCGTCAAATCATCAATTTTGCGTCGAGTACACGGCAGGAACAGCCTCGGAAGACAGATATTTGAAAAGATAATCACGTTTAGGTATTTTCAATATCGAATGATACTGAATAAATACAAGTATACATATACTTTATTGTAGCTAATTTCACGAAAATAATAAACGGCGACGGGAAATCATCTCTTGCCTTTTTCCGAAGAGGCTTAGTGAAGTCTATAAACTGGCACAGATTGTGAAAAACATGGCGTCCGAGTCGTAAACACAACGGCGCTCGCGTCGCGCCTACAAAAATACTCTGTGTTGGCGCAGTCCGCGGTCAGCCATCGCGTACTCAAAGCGAAACGAAATGTGCTCCCGCAATGGGCAGCAACTGTTGCAAGGGTGATGCCGCCGGCCCCATCCGGTCCAGCTCCTCGATCTACTCCAGGTACTTATGGCTGATCATCGTGCTCGCACAGGAGCTCCAAGGAGTCCCTTGGCCACTGCGCCCCACCAAACCCCTCTCTCCAGCTCTGTACGTAGCGAACCAGTGATCTTCCAGTGCAGTGGTAACCTAGTGCTAGTTATATAACATGGTGTTAGAGGTAGTATATTAATTTTTTCATATTTCATGCACATTTTTTGAACTTTTTCCGTATAATAATCTCTGAAATAGTTTACGAACGCTTGTGCGTATGAGTAAAACAAAGCTTATTTTGTTATTGTCACTTGCACTTTCTATTGTTTAGTGATAAGTTTCACATAATTTTTATTATTTAATTATTAGCGAGAAATAGTCGAATAAAGTTATTCCAATTTTATCTTTAAAAAAGTAGCCCATATTGCCCGTCATTTCGGTAATTGTTTATAAAATATTGAAGCATAACGGCCTTGACCAAAATAAAATTTTATTTTTAAATTCTTGTAGATAATATCGTGAAAATGTTGGCGGTTACCGAATTACTAACCCATGAAATATGCGAAAGTTTTGATGTAGAATCTGTAGCGTTGTATTTATGTAGCTGCCAGTTATTTTCTGAACTTAAATCTAAACCTAGAAGGTTACCGTTTCTAACATCGAATGGTGCGGCATGCGAACATCTCTGTAATTACTTTTATTTAGCAATAATCTTTCTTTCTACTTTCGGGGATAATTCTCAATAATGGATGTATAGAAGCAAGCGTTTTGAAATCAGAATTCGGAAATTCGGAATTAATATTTATTTTCTTCTTATTTTAATATTTTTATCTGACAAAGACAGGCTAGGGTCATCTACCATACTGCCTCGGCTTCAGTGGTGAAGAAATGTTGATTTGAAAAATAGTTGCAACTTTCTAAACGAAGCTGGCGCCATTAATAAATTAGGATTCGCTCTGGGCCTTTTGGAGGGAAAAGTGTCGTTTTTATTTTGACTTTCAATTATTTTGTGAAATCTAGTTTAAAGTGGAATATGATAGAGCTATTGTGCCTTAATCGAAGATTAAAACGCGAAATTATACGAATCTCGAACTAAAATACCCGTATCGGCCCGTTTTAAGGAACCCCGAGTCGATCCAAGCACGCTGCCTCAAATTGCCTATCCTCTTTGTGGCGGCCATGTTTACAGAAACAAGGACTTGTATCCAAGCCAAAATTATTAATTAAAAAAATATTAATATTAGCTTACCGAAAAGGTAATCAAATTTTTGAAATGTCTTTTTAAAAATGATTAATGGCGTGTATATTTTCAAGTACAAAAACAACACGAAAACTTTTTGTTACACGTGTGACTATAAATTGTTCTCGTTCCGAATTCATCGCATGCTTACGTGATAAAAAAATAACGAGTTCTTAGGTTTTCGCGATTATTAATATAAAGGAAATGAAACAATTTTTTTCGAATCTGACTTCCGTGATCAAGGAAGCTGTAACGGATCCGAAGCGTTGAGAAAGGGATTACATGCCAAAAAATAGCTTTATTTCTGTTAAATAAAAATTATTCCAAATTCAACGTGACTAAATGATACGCTGTGTTTACGAGTACATGTGTGCGATAATCGTTTTAGATTCGATGGCTTTCCTAGTTTAGTGGCGTAATAAAAAGCAAATAGAAAAAATCAGCGATATGTAAGTAAATATTTAACATCATTAACTGCAATACTGTGCTATACCGGTAGATCTCAGCTCTAAAATAATTTGTTTTGTTCATTGACTTACAAATAAATGGACGACGGGTCTAATACAAAAACTTAACTTTTTAGCGCGGACCCGACGTCCATATAATTGTAAGTCAATGGTTTTGTTACATTCTTTTTGTCTGGATCTGTTATCGCGCCATTTTTAACCGACTTCAAAAAAAGAGGAGGTTATATGTACGGTTGTATGCATGTTTTTAGATGTCTTCGTCAATTGTGGTTCCATTTTGAAAATTCTTTTTTGTTTGAAAGGATGCACTTTCGTGGTAGTCCCAAGTCAGAACCTTATGAGGGGATCCCATAAAAGTCGACTTTTCTTAATACGTGTTATCAATAAATCATCGTTACCATGATAACCAGAAAAGAAAATAAAATGTAAAAAGGAGTCCGTAACAGTCCCACTGTCACTAGGAAGTCAGAATCTAACGGAAGGATCCGTATACTACTTTTTTTTCCATCCTCTAAGAGAGGATCCCATGGAAATCGAAAAAATGATAAGCAAACTTTCGAGGTGAGTTTTTTTTAATGGAAAAGTTACAATTATGGCTAGACGATTTATTTATTTATTACGTGTCGTAGAAGGCGACTAGGAGCAAGATATAAAAAAAATAATATTAAAAAAACATATATTTTTGTTATTAAGTACTTGATTTATTTTAAATATACATATGACAATTATTTTATAGGTACCTAAACTTTCACTGAATTTAATTAACATTTGTATAAAACTTAATTATCATTTTTTACTTAGCAAAAATATTCTAAAAAATATGTTATTCCTGCGTATAAAGGCATATTAACTAGAGAACTTAATAATAATATAATTAACATAATAATACATTTTTCCGACGAAATGTCATAAATTTCAGAGTAGCTTATGTTCAATAACTTCGTCTGTGTTCAATTCTAATTCAGAATATAAGTAAACTATTTTTGCCATAAAATATTCCTATTTAACTACCTCTGCTAGCACGCGCCCATACTGTGGTGCCGCGCTGTCGTCGATGATTTTTCTGTTAGTTCCACAAATCCCCACTAATCCTGAATTTTTTTTTAACTTTATTCCACAAATTCCTACTGGAACGTAGTACTTGTTACGCAGTGGGCATTTGTGTACAAACGGCTATTTTCAAGTTTACTTAGAGCTAGACTGTTTCTTAAAAAAAATCACATAACTATGTTAAAATAATCGAGTAGAGTACATATGAAATAAATACGACATTTAAAAATGTAAATAATAACAAAACCAACAAGTCAAACTAAACTAAAAAAAAGACTACTGTGAATATGTGGTTTTTCCGATAATTTAAATTTTTTTTCATTTATAAAATAAAATATCTAATCATTCTTCACGTCACTTTCTCAAATAATGCTTCCAGTGCTTCTACTAAAGTTATTGGTTATTTTTGAAATAAAAATATTTTGCAATTAAAAAAAATGTTCTTTGTAATCTATATTTCATTCTATATTGACAAATAGCCTACAAGACATTTTGAATATCCTTGTATCCATGTAGTAGAATCGATTTGACTTTTCTTACACCTTCAAGAGCGACGATAAACAAATTGCTTGAGTACACATTTAAGAAGAATTCTGTATTTTAAACTAAGTTCAAAAGTCCATTTTCAATTTTAAGAAAAAAACACAATTCAATATGTGTCGTAATATTAACTGGACATTGGCGCTGAAAATCAATTGTTTACGGCAAACTCCGAATCTGTCATCTACAAATGTAATATACCTAATATATAAAATAATATTATGGTGGGGATTTTTTCCACAAATCCCCACTACCTGGCAAATATTACGTTAGTGGGGATTTGAGGAATATCATATATGAACTATCAGCTTCTTTGTTAATTATTTACTATATTTCAATACAATATTTCTATTCAATTATAATGAATTACGTTCCTGTTTACACGATATTTTGAAATAATTTTTTAATGAACATTTTTGAATTCATTATTCTTAGTAATAGTACTACAAAAATACAAATTAAAGTGTAAAAAACGTTGAAAATGAATACACAGATTGATTTGAACAACGATTTTATTATTTTTAACATGTTCAGACCGGGATCAAAATGACCATAATTAGTTGTCTGGCGACAAACATTTTCACATGGCCGTCACCGGCTTACAGGATGGAAAGGTCACCGGTGGTACATCATCAATCCTATATATCAGAAGTTTATATCAATCAATATATATAAAAAAGCATATATCAATCAGAAGTTTTGTCAGGCGGGGTGCGCCAACTTTTTTTGCCAGTTTAAATAAATAAATTGTAAGTACGTCTGTGTTTTTGCACGATTCTCGATGGATAGTCGTTTGGATTTGACATTTAAGGCAGTATTCATAGTTGTAAAATTTTTGGACATTCGGGACGGGCTTTGCCAATCTGCTATTTTACATTTTAATTTTTCTTGAATGATTTAATATAAGGGCAAAGGCAAGTCGTCGGTATGAAATATATTCTAAGAGAAATTGCTACATCTTGAGTTAACTTGTGTTTGTTTCAGAGTGAGATTGTCATTTATATATATCAGCCACACAATATTTTTGATGAGCTCTATGATCGAGTGGCTTGCAATTCGGTTTTCATGGTGTCGTACTCTCTGAGGTCCAGGATGCGATCCCCGGCCGGGACAGTGTAGAAACTAACTTTTTTATATTGTCTCAGGTCTGGGTGTGTGTGGTGCCGTCGTTGTTTCCGATTTCCATAACACAAGTGCTTTAGCTACTTACTTTGGGATCAGCGCAACGTATGAGTTGTTGTCTAATATTTATTTATAACATAAGCAATTACTTTATTACAGTAGTGTGTTTAGAAAAATTATTCATGTCGTAAACAGTAATGGATGACCTCGAAAAAGGCCTTGGTAATTTTTCATGAAAACTAAAATATAGATTGCTTGAAAGTTTTTTTAAAATTTTCTCGCCGACAAGGCCTTTGAAGACGTTCATTAATTTTCGGACGCGTATACGTGTGGCATATGTTTCAAAGGTATTTTGCGTTGTTTTCTATGTATAGACATGATGTACTTATTTAAATTTCCAATAAAATAGTTCTTTAAGTAGCAGTAGAGCTCCTTGTGAATGAGTTCGTCTAAGAAAGTATCACCTTCCCTATTTCTGCCGCCAAGCAGCAATGTCAGCGTTACGGTGTTCCGGTTTTGAAGGGTAAGGTTGCTGGTGAAGTTACAGCCACATGGGACTTGTCAACTTATGTCTCAGGGTGACGGACGCAGTAGCAGTCCCCTTAGATCTTATATATTGTATACCTAGAACATCTTGTTAGAAGTTTCTTCGACGTTGAAAATTTTCTCATCGGTGAACAGGATGGAAGGAAAAAGTT